TTCATCTATTTAGTGAATTTAACAATGTCATTTTCAATTGTGTTGATAGAAGTAACAAATTGGCCGACTTATGTGCTAATTATGGTATTATGAGCCAATTTATTTTGGAGGATGTTAGTATTGATAAGATTCCTCCTTTATTCATGTCTTTGTACAGGAGGAATCTTATGTTTTGGCTCATTAGAGTTGTAATAATTTCTTAGTTCTTTTCTTTAATGCTATTTAATACATTTCCTTCAAAAAAAAAAGGTAGTGGTCTAGCAGAAGTCCGGCCTTAGGTGGTGGTCCGACGGAGCTCAGGGCCTCAAGTGGTGGTCCGGCGGAGCTCAGGGCCTTAAGTGGTGGTTCGGCGGATCTTGGGGCCTCAAGTCATGGTCCAGCAGAACTCAGGGCCTGAAGTGGTGGTTCGGCAAAGCTCAGGGTCTGAAGTGGTCGTCCGGCGGAACTCAGGGCTTCAAGTGGTGGTCCGGCGAAACTCCATGCGGTGGTCGAGGAGGAAAGGAGGCAAGAGAAATCTCCGTTCTCTCTCTTGAATTATTAGGCTTAGGGGCCCCTTTTCAAGAGGAAGGAGGGGTCTATTTATAGATTTCCTAGAGTGAGATGACCCATAAATAGGAGGATCAAGGGCAAATGGGGAGTGGTTTAGATGGACGACAGATATTGAATCCCTTAATCGTGGACAGTTCGCTAGACATTTAAATGTCTTAATAATGTCAGAATTATGTGGTCTTAGGCTCATTGGATTTGTCTCGTCGAGTCGCTCGAATCGACTAGAAGCATGTGACGTTTGGAAACCATTAGGTAATCCAAATTATGGTTCGCAACAATGCTTCGGGCCCTTGATTTGGGCTCAGATTGAGTCGAATTTGGTGTCGTTGGGTTCATATTTTTTAGACGTTCAGTCCGACTGTAAGTTCGCTGAAATTAGAGTTTGGATGATCCCAATTTTTGTTTTGGAAGTTTCTAACTTGGTTTTTCCTCGAGATTCATGCCCGATCTAGATAATTTTTGAGGATGCATTATCATGAATACTTTTAAAATCATCTACCTCTTTACCAACATATCCATTTAAATCTCATCCAATAAAAAAAAATTTATTCAAGAGGTACTTTTGTATTAATTCTTCTAAGCCATTCTAAAATTTTAAATTGAATGCATATCAAAATCTACTTAAGGATCATAAACACTTATAATATTAATAATTTTAGCATTAACAATAATATTTAAAATTATAATTCTATCTTCAATTCTATTAATTTTTATATTATCCTTCAAACTCTCATTTATAATTACACCACCATTTCTAGTACGACTCCTACTAGAATGCCATAGTTTAAATCTTAAATTATCAATCTCCTTAGCTTTCTCTTCAACCCATTTAGTTTCTTTAATATATAGAAATATTTATTTTCCTATGAATCATAATATCTATTAATTTATCTATAAGAGAACCTATATTCCGAATTCCTATCCTAATTTTAGTTTCACGGACTAGCTTATTTGTCCACATCCATCCATGATGTTGGAATCCTTTCTTATTTAACACTGCACCTGAGTGTCGGTGCAACAACTTTTGCACAATTTTTTAAAGAATTAAGAGAAGTTTGAAAGAATTTAAAGAACTTTTCCAATTTCACAAAGCATATGTTTAAATAGATAATGAACTAGCTATCATGATGCTTTCTTTTGAAAGTTTGCTTCTAAGTTTGTACTACTAATACAGCATAATGAAAATGAGAATGAATAAGCAAAGAGAGCCGATGAAGAAAAGAATCAAAATACACTTTTTTATTATTTATCTATTGATATGTTCACAAAGGAGTATAATTCTTGTAAGAGTTCAAGAGGACATGAATATGACCCACTATAGTGGACCAAAAAGGAGGTTGGCCATGTATCGAGGAGGCCAAACATGATATTGGGACATGCTTGATGGATTTGAAGGAGATAATTTTTTTTTATGAAAGTTTCATAGTAATATTAATTCCTTTCATGTAGGTAAAATTCATTGTTTGGGATAGCATACAACTTCATATTCAATCATGATTGATCTATCTATGATCAATCAGAATATGCCAGCCTTATGGTAAAAGCTTGGGCATCATGTAGATTAGTTATGTCGAAGAAATTATGCAGATTTGTTGTTTCATTAAAAAGAATCATAAAGGGGTTGACCACGTGTTGGAAAAATAATTTAGAATGGAGTAGAAATAATCCAACTTGTAATTAAGATCAACATCATTACTAATGTGTTTGGTCGTATTTTTTAGTGATTTTTTTTTTTTTTTTTTTTTTTTTTTTTTTTTTTTTTTTTTTTTTTTTGTGATTCATTGCATTTGTAGAACAAATTAAGCATAAAATAGGAGCTAAAAATGTAATTTACAAATATGGTGCGTGAAAGCCTTGTGGAATTTGTAGGAAAATATTAGAACAAAGGCATAGGGATTTTATTGTGGAATAGAAGTTTCGAATCTTATTGAGAGGAGAGAGAGGGAGTTGATTTGCCTTTAGAATCTGTATTCTATGGTTTCTTGTGAATTGGGTGGCATGCTGGGGAGGAAAAGAGAGCCATGGTGCCTGGTTAGCCTCCTTAGTAAAAAATGGGAGAGTAACTTGGAAAAATCATTCAATTGTATTAGGCTTAATTTTTACATCTAATAGCCTTCGATTTATAGACAAAAAAAGAGTAATCCATTTTTATCCACAAATTCAACTAAGGGGCTATTTGTTTTGAAGAGAAATGGGTGTAAAGTATTAGAAATGTAGGAGTTTTGTAAATATTGGTGTTTGTTATGATGTAAAAGAAATACAAAAATAACAACAACAACAACATCAAGCATTTATCCAACTACGTTGGGTTGGTCACATGAATCCTGTATCTCTATTGTATCTCATTAAGAGTTAAATTCTCATTTAAATCTAATAAAGAAATGTCATTTTTAATATTTGATTTAAAGTAAAAAATGCAGATTGAATTTTTATAGTATTTGAAATTCTCCCTCTAGTTCAATTTTGGTGTATTTGAAAATAATTATGTTTGTCCAAGCTCCAAATACACTTTAAATTCTTTATCATTATCGCCACTAATGCAAGTTGCCACTTACTACTGACAACTTACATTGTAGGCCGCCACCGCCACCGCCACCTTTCTATGTGGATGCTAGCGTAGCAACCGTTGGTGCCACTATAGTCCATCGGCCACCACCTTCATTGAGCTTTACACTGCATTCATTTTACTTCAATAAAAAAAAAATACTAGATTTATTTATATTCATCGTACCAACTCTAAAATATTTCAAATTTATTATATTTCTTTTATATTGTATTCTTTTTACTCTACATTCCTTTTTCAACAAATGAAACGGTCCCTAAATAAATTAATTTAAGAATTTTTAACTTAAATTTCCAAGCTCCATTGAAATTTTGGTTAGTTATGCCTTAGAAATAGACTAGGGGTGTGTGTAAGTGAGTCAAGCTGATTCGTGAGCCGGCTCGGGCTTGACTCGTTAAATGTCTCATGAACCGAGCTAACGATGCAAGTTTAAGCCATCCCCAACTCGACTCGTTAGCTCATGAGCTTGCTCGTTTAAAAAATAGTAATATAAAGTATACTTAAAATATGCAAGAATTTTGGATTTTAAGTACAAAGTTATTAAAAATGTTAAAAATTCATGTCTCACTTTCTTAAATTAAGTGATTCTATATAATTATTTTTTATGATTTCTTATTTTCTTATCATTTTATTATAATAATTTCTTAAATCATAGAAATTTTCTCTCTTTAATAATAAACGAGTCAGCTTGAACTCATAGATTAAAGTTCGTGCTCAAGTTCAAATTCGATTAATTAATCAATTTAAAGCTCAAGCCAAGGGTGACTCTTGCTGAGCTCAACTTGTTTAAACCCCTAGAAATAGTTGAAGACTTTTAAATTTTTTCCTTAAAAGGTGCTTTGCTTCTTAAAATAAAGAAGTAATTTTTTTGGTGTGATTTTAGGATAATTATCTTGAAATTTAAGTAACAATTTAGACCTTCAAAATTTTTATGTGCAAATTATCTCCAATATTAACTTACCAATTTTCTATAGAGCATCTAGGTTATCTAGATCAATTTCCGTAAAGAACCTCACTACTTAAAGTTTAGGGGATGTTTGATGATATGCAAGTTAATTGAGATTGCTTATTTAGCTATGAAGAGCCTCAATACGTATAGTTCAGGGGACTTTTGAATAATATATCAAGTGAAGTGAGATTTCTTTTTTAACTTGGCCCTATTTATTTTATTTTCATCTTTATTATTCTTGCTTTGGCCGACTGGTTCAAACAGATCATCCCCATTTCTGTGCTGTCCTCCCTCCCACTCTATTGTGATGCCCTCTCATTTCTTAATGTCTTTCTTATGTCTTCCTGCTGCTGCTATGCTCTACGTCCATGCGAACACCCTTTTTGTTACCAAGCAAAGCATTAGACGTTAGCTCTGTTTGAATTGAGTGAAATGGAAAAAGAGGAAATGGTAAAGGAATTGTATTGAAATTAGGTTTCACTTACTGGCTTGGTTGACTTAGAATTGTTTGTAAAAGTAATTTCTCTTTTTGTTTGGTCCAAAGAAATAGCCATTAAATTGAAGAATGGGAACAATCTAATACTATTTCACACTTCAGTTTCAGTTTAGGTTTCCCTCGTCGGTTTAAACAGAAAATCAAACAGTGAAATGTGCATATATTGTAATTTTCTTGGTATATCAGTTTATTATGAATGACAACTGAACTAAACAGTCAAATGTAATTGCAAGCTAATGGGGAAAAGCCAATGTTATTCACACTTCAGTTTCACTTTAGCTTTCCCACATTTGATGCAGAAGAAAATCAGTCAGTGAAATGTGCATATATTGTAATTTTCTTGGTATATCAGTTTCTTATGAATTACACCTGACCTAAACAGTCAAGATGTAATTGCATGGATTACCCTAATTGAATAATTAATAAGTTTAATTGCGTTGCAGGAGCTACCATGGTACCAATCAGTTGGACAGATATGCAATGCCCGTCAACTGGTCAGGTTGAAAAGAGAAAAGTTGCAAAAGTGCTTTAGATATTCTTCCACTTGGGAACTGAACATGGAGAGAGAATTGTGAGCTTATTCTGTAGGTTACCCTTTTTTGCTTTAAAGAGTGAGCCCTCGCATAAAGGGATACAGATTGCATTACTTTGTCCGGAAATTATCATAATTTCCTTATGTTTAGAATTTTAAATTGAAATATGTTCAATTTTTTATATTCGATTCAAAATTAATAAAAAATTTAAATTATTATTATTAACTAAATTATAAATTTTATTCACATTATTAAATTAATTAAAAAATGTTTAAAAGATATATAATATTTATGTTGAGTTTTATTACTCCAACATATCTATTTAGTCTCACATTATTTGGGAATTTTCTCTTTTTATTATTTATATAATTTCTTGGGTTTGCAAGTGTTAAAAATTCACATGGAGTGGTGGGGTTATGTTAAGATGCTTCATTGATATTTTGAGGCAAATAATTATTATAAGAATTTCATGCTTATTAAAAAATTAAGTATATTTAATTAGTTTGTTAAAATTTAAATATTATTTAATATTTTATTCTTAATATATTAAATTAATTTTTAAATAATTTAACAATTGAATTATTTGGTTCAAAGGAGCTGGGATGGGTTTCGCTTGTTGAATTGGTTGTTCTAGAAGTTCAGTTCAATTTGTTGCAGAAGCGAATTTTAAGATGGATGAGACCAGCTTCATAATCGGTTCTTGGTTGAACTGATTGGATGAGACCAGCTTCATAACCAGTCGTTCTAGTTTTGTTTTTCAAACCTTGGTAAAAATATGTAATTTTATAATGTCATCCATTATAAGCAAGCAATATTATATTAATTAATATCAAGATTATATAAATGGTTTGTTGAACTTTGGGTTTAATAATGCACTAGTAATTAGTTAGTTTGGTCTATCATAATCTATAAGTTGGCCTCTACTTTAGCCTTACCTTGAATTTATTGAAGCTTGTGTTAGCCTAAGATTGAATAGATTAGTGATGGTTAGACCAAAATTAGAATTGATTGAACCTGTAGCTCAATTTAAGGTTGCCATGGCTTCATCAAACTAAGCAAAAAATCCAAGTGGAGCCAAATGTGTTTATGAGACCTTAGGGAAGCCCAAAGCTCACTAGTCATATTGGTTGATCATTGATGTCAAAATTGACCATCATAAATGGTCATTAAGAGTCCATTTGTCAAAATGGTCCATAATTAATATAATGGAGCTAGCTAACTAAATGCCGTATGTCCTTAAACGATGATTGAACTTGATTATGGTTTATTGAGCTTTAATAAAGCTTGTTTGAGTTGATTCAAACAAACCCAAGATAACCTAAGAAGTTGTTAAGTGTAAATTATATATTGTTTATTGTGTTTGATTTTCAAAAGAAATGTATTATTTTAATTATCTTTGTACATGACGTATTTAGAAATAATAGAAAAGCGCAAGTGATAAGTAGCACCGTTGCGCCGACTTATACCACACTGCAGTGCCGAGATCAATCATGTCGAGGTGCTCATTTTCGACATTATAGCATCGATCTTCTCTATTTGCAATTGCTTCACCGGTACCATAGTTAGCACCATGGCATAATACAACATCATTGTACCAAAATTTAGCACTGCAGCGCCAAGTGTCTATAACAAATGAGTGTTGCAATGTCATGCCTTTCAATGCCTCAGTGTCAAATTCCCCATCAGTTGCCTCAATGCTCAAACTTATGGAGTGCCACAATAGACCAATTATCAACATGAGGAGCCACGCTGACTCAGCAAAAAGATGCTCCATTTCAATTAGTAAGCATGCTATATTAGCCAGTGATGCAGTGGAGTAGACTTTACTATGTCAAGATGCTATTTCATTTTTCACAACTGTGATACCAACTTATCAAGAGACATAGTGCTTGAACCCATCCCTGTACTTACTATAAATAACTTTTTGAATTCTTTTATTGAGAGAGTTATATCACTTTAGTGAAATCCTTTATTTGTAAGTGTGTTTTTTTAGTTTCCCCTTAGAATAAAGTCTAAGCGAGGCTAGAGAAGTGCAAGATATTTTTTTGTAAATATCTTATCATGTCTGTGTAAGCAACTCTGTAATTGGTGGAAGGAGTATGAAGAAGATTATTTGATCCTTCCTGGTAACAATTTTCTTATTACTTATCTTGTATCTTTACTTTCAATGAATAAAATAAATACGAGTTTGCTTGTTTACTCCTCCTTGTCTGGTTAATTCTCTAATTTTGGGATTATGATGTATATAGCATAATACGTAATAATATAGAATGTTGCACTTTAATGAATGTATTGATGTTTTCAATATCTCTCATTTTCATTTAATTCATACAATGAACATGTGTGCAATTGAAATGTAATGTGATATATAGCCTCGATGGAGGAATACTGGAGTAATCAAGTGTATTGAAATGGAATGTTGGTGTGGACATATAATGTTTGAATATTTTATGTTCTATAGAGATAAAAAACATCATATGAAGGTTGTAAACCTTTCTTTTCTCCCCTACAAGCTCGATAGAGGTCTAAGGATATATATACTATAATCCACATATATAATTAAGAGTATCATTAAGAAAGCTATGTCATATACATTCATCAATCCAAAGCACTTTATTTTCATAAGTAACTTTTTTTTAAATTTTCCTTTTAGTGTTAAAAACACAAAATATCATTTTCTATTTTTATTAGGATAAGTTGTGCATTTGAAGTAATGATAAGTATAAATTATATATTATTTAATATATTTTATTTTAGTTATTTTTTTATAGGAAAAATTAAAAAATGTCAAAAACTCTAAGGAGCATACAACGTTGCGGCATCTGACAAAATAACATCGTAGCGCTTCCTTTAATACTATCGAGTTTCCCTAATTCTGACATTGTGGTGTTGGGTTCTCTGTTTGCAAGAACTACAACGACAACACGGTCAGCACCGCAGTATTATTCGTGTTGCAACATAAGAAAGTTAGCTTGGAAGCTCTGATTCACTATTTTAAAATGCCACGACGCATAATTTCTTATGCTTTGGCACTATTTATCTACTTGGGCGCCACAGCGCTCAAATGTCTATAACGTTGTGGTGTTGTAGTTATAACTTGCAAGGACCACGTTCTATTAGTAAAGAAATGAGATTATTCAATAAGTAACTGATATATGTCAGCAAGCACCATGGTGGTGCAAAAGCTTTAGTACTAGTTCATTTCAAGGGCGTCATGGTGCCATTCTTTTAAGCGCCGCAATGCCATATGTCATTTTATATATTTTTTTTATAAATAGTTATGATGTTATATTTATAAGGAAGTTCAGTCGCTTATGTAAATTTAGTACTTTTTAGAGTTCCATCTTAGAGTGAAATCTAACGGAGGCTAACGAAGTATAAGATACAATCATTTGGAGTGTTTAGCCTGTTAAAACAACTCTATAAGTTAAATATAGGAGTGCATTAGAGATACTTTGATCCTTCCTAGTGATATCACTGTTGTACTTTTCATTCTTCCATGAGTTTAATGAAAATGAATTTCCTAGTTAATCATTTTATGTCTGGCTAATTCTCTATTTTTTATTGATGATATAAAATGTATGTTAAATACTAATGAAGAAACTTATTCTATAAATATTAAAAGATATTTTCTCGTTCTTTATTTAATGCACATAGTGGCCATATGTGTAGTTAAAATATAGTGTTAATCTCAATAGAGGAATGCAAAAATAATTAGGAATATTGAGATAAGATGTTTGCATGCCTAGACATATGATGTAAAATATTCTCTGGTTTTTAAGGAGATATTATAACTATAAGGAGGTTAGCATATATCCTTTTCACCCGTAAATACTTGATAGAGATCTAGAGATGTATATGCTCTGAATCACATTACCTTGAAGAGTTTCATTAGGAAAGATAATTAATTTATGCTCATCAATCCAAAAAAGTACTTTAATTAAGTATTTTATAATTTATTTAGTGATAGAATCTCCAACAATATTATTTTTATTTTAGTAGGATAATTATTGTAAATAGAGTAAACAGTAATAGTTTTTTGCAAGTAAGCATAATTCCTCAAAGGTTCCACACTCTATTATATACCATTTTATTACTTGATTCAGCATGTATACTTATGTATATTAAGTGGGATTTGTTATTATTTATATCAAAAAAAAATTCTAAGCATTATTTAGGGGTAATAGAATCTTAGATTTTTATATAATTCAAAAGATCACTCCATAGCCCCCATCATGTTTTTGGCTCTGTTGTCGGAGAAGTAATTTAGTTCTAACTATATTATTGAATTAATTGCATAGTTAGACATACTTATATCTTTTGTTTTATTTATTCTATTTTATATATTGATTGCATATTAATGTTTGTATGCTTTATAGGCATAGAAATAAACTTTTTATTATTTGATGATGGAATAGAAAGTTTCCTTTCAAAAATTCAAAAAACTAAAAGGTTAGTGAAAATGGTTGAACCTGTATTAGATCAAGATCAATCTAGACCTCTTAGGGATTATGCTAACCTTTAGTAGATGGAATTCATCAGAGCACTAATAGACTTATGATCCATGCTAATAATTTTAAATTAAAATATGCCATAATTGATATGGTTTAAAATTCCTAATTTTGGGGAACTCATGTTGAATATCATAATTTACATTTAGCCATTTTTTTAAAAAATTTGTATAACATTTAAGTATAATGGTGTCAGTGACTATGGTATTAGTCTTAAATTATTCCCCTATTATATAAGAGATAAAGTTAGGTTGTGGTTGAATTCTTCACCCCCCAACTTTATAACCACTTCAGAAAGATTTAATAAAATGCTTAGAAAATGCCCTCACCATGTCTACCAGATTGGTTAGCTATTCAATTATTTTATCATGGATTAGTAGGATCTCTTAGAGCAATCATAGATGCAACAGTTGGAGGATCTTCAATGTCTAATCTATTTGAGGAAGCAAAATTGAATTAATAGAGACTATGACTACTAATAATTTCTAATGGATTATTGATAGGGTGAATCCTAAAAGAGTAGCAAGATTATATGAATCTTATGCTTTGTAAATTTTGACTACACAAGTTGTAGCAATTTTTAGGAAATTAGATATATTAAAAGTTAAAACTAGGATAGATGGATATAATAATCTCAATATTAATTCTAAAAATTTAAATGCTATTGTGTTG